TGGTGTCCTTCGAAGGCTCCATCGCCTCCTTGATGCGTTGCGCCACCTCGGAGGGAGGAAGCGCTTCATCGACAAGCACCGTCCCCTCGAATGACACTCCAGGCACCATCCCGTGCAGGGGAAGCACGCGCACCATCAGTGGCGCCACCCTCCTCGCGTGGTAGGCGCCAATAATCCCCGACCCCTTCCCGCCCCACTCCTTTAGAGCGTGGAGGGCGGCGAGAAGGTCGGTGATGTGCTTCTTCTCTTTTGTCAGAACGCCCCACTGCCACGACTGCGGAGCCTCTTCGATGAGGCGCCCGGTGTACTTTGGCAGGGGGGCACTCACATCATCCCTGACGTAAAACCACTGCAAATGCCACCCCTTGTTGGAGGTTGACAGACGCATCAACGGGTAGTCCCTCGACCGGGTATGGCGCAAATGAATGCTGGCACATCCCATCGGCACATTCACCTCCTTCCCCCCAACCCGCCTCTTCGACAGGCTGACGATGAAGAAGTGCTGCCACAGATCGAAGTGGGGATCGATCCCCAGGAAACCCTCGCACAGGGCAACAAACGTCGCCATATGTTGAACCCCATTGGGAGTAAGATGCTGCAACTCCACCTGGTAATGATCCAGTAGCCCCCGAAGGAATCTATGTGCGGGTACGGCAAATCCCCGCTCTTGGAAGATAGCAAAGGACATGACATACCCTTCGGGCGGCGCCGGCTCATCCTCCTCACCGGGCAGCAGCCACTCCTCGACGGCGGACTGCGGGCGGAGAAGGCCGCGGTGGACAAGGCCCTCCAAACGCCGAGAGGTAATACCGGATTTGCCCCACAGCTCCATTAAAGCCTCGGGAAGAAAGGTGGGCGCGAGCTCAACGACAACTACGATGCGTGCGCGAGCTTAGCGACGGCTGCGATGCGGAGGCGAACCTAACGACGGCGGAGGTTTCGGACGCGAAGGCAAGGGGGCGAAATACGGAACCCTGGGGGCGAACCCCGTGGTTTTATAGGGGCGACGGATGCGAGAAGGCCAACCGTCTGCCTCGATCTCTGAGCCTGCCACGCGCACCATCGCGTCACATCGCGGGACACGCACCCGCGATCCGTATCCTCTCCCACCGAAATCGCATTGGACGGTTCGCCTTCCCAAAGCGACCGGACTCTTCCCACAGAGGGGACGTGGGCTAGAAAAATCTCTTCTCTAATTCGTCTAGGCCCATAACGACCGGGGTCGGCCCAAACTGTCTCGATGGCCGCCCCAATGAGGGATGGCCCACGAGAAACCAGGACTCCGGTGCACAAGCATCAACAGGGCCTCGACTTGCAATCGAAACCCCAGCCAAGTTAACCCTAGACGTTTTCCCCACGAATGGGGTATCGAGGCTCCCTTAAAAATAACCAGTCAACGAAACACCGAATCTTACGGCCTTACCCGCGGAGGGTCCGATACTACCCCCCGGGCGATTCTACCCGAATCACCTGGAGGCTCGGGGGCTACACCCACCGGGTGCGCTCGCGCGCACCCTCTGGCGAATTGACTCCGATACTACCCCACGGGCGATTCTACTCAAATCACCCGGGGGCTCGGGGGCTACATCCACCGAGTGCGCTCGCACGCACCCTCTAGCGAATTGACTCCGACAAAATCAAAACACCCCTCGGGCAATTCTATCCGAATCACCCGGGGGCTACTGTCAGGGACCTAATACCGGGGTACCCAAGGAGGTGGAACTAATAAACATCGAATGTTAAAAACTCCCGAACGAACAAGAACACTGCTGCGCCTCTTGCCCGAACGACGGGGGTTTGGTTCCGCCTCGCCCAACGCTCATGGGCCAGCTCTGCCTCACCCCACGGTTGGAGGACGGCTCTGCCCCGCCTGAGGGCTGAGGGATCGGCTTCGCCTCGCCCGAGGGCTAGACTCCGCTTCGCCCGACACCCGTGGATCGGCTCCGCCTCGCCCGAGGGCTGAGGGCTCGGCTCCGCCTCGCCCGACGCCCTAGGGCTATGCTCCGCCTCGCCCGACCCCCGAGGGCGGACCTCGCCTCGCCCGATGTCCAAAGGCTGGCTCCACCTCACCTAACAACCGCACCCCGCTCCCTCATGATGATAGGCACAGGGTAAGACAAGACGTTCGGGTCAACCACAGCATCAAGGACCATGCCCTGCGCCCCTGCAGGAGAGTACCGTCGGGGCATGATGGGACGGGCGCTTAGACCCTTCTAGGCGTAGCAGAGCCTGAATAGTGTTGCAGGCGCGTGCTCTTCGCCCTACAGTGTTGTAGGCGCCGCCTTCAGCCCCCGGGCAAAGAGTCCGACATAGATGTACGACAACCACTACGTTCCAAGGGGGGACTCTCATCCCCTACAGTGGCAAACGGGCAGTCACCACGCCTTCCACTCCCCACAGGGTCGCAGATCGACACCCCGCCCGACACGCCGCCCGCAAAGGCGGGACGGGACGCACCCACTTGCTAAAAGAGGTCAAGGCATGGCCTACGAAGATCAATGAACATGCCACTTCTGACACTGTCTGCCATGTGGTACAGGGCATGCACAGGGAAAAAGGAAGACCCGGATCCTTCGTAGGACCTTCTATACCCTTGGTGTTTTCCTCTTTCTCCCATCTGTAACCCCTGCTCCCCCCTTGGTCGATAAAAGGGAGGGCAGGGCTCCCCACTAGAGGGACCGACTTTAAACGGACAACTCACATACAGGCGAACCCATAGAGAGTTCAGTTCGACATCACATACACAGCCAAGCCGCCACTAGGCTCTTGGCCTCCTTCCGACCCTTCCATCAGAGACCTAGGACCAGTCCCTCTCTCAACCGTTTGTACCCCCAACTACGAACCGCTTTCGGTGCTAATAACATGAGCAGCAACAGACTGGACGTAGGGACATTCAGCCCGAACCAGTATAAACCTTGTGTCCTTTAGCGCACCATCCGGGCCTAACACGCATAATTATAAATTTACTAGCCGGTGCTTGTTCGAAACACCGACACATCCCAACACTCTCTGCAGTGGCCCCGCAGCCGCCCGACACACTATGACCCCTTCATCGACCACATCGCAGCAGAGCGTATATGCCCTCTACGATCTGGTGGCATCTGGCCTCTTCCAAGGTGGCACGGTGGTGTGAGGCCGGTGATTTGTGGCGCAGCACCGGAGGAAGAGCGCGGCACGAGTAAGGACGGAACTAGGAAAAATAGTTGGGGTAGGGCGGCGCCTACGGGCGTCGAGGAGCGGCGCAGGCGGGAAACACGTTCATTCTCGCACGCTCTACTTGGAACGCTCCCGCATGGTGAAAACTTAGAGCCTGCCCCGCCCACACCGCCCACCGCACCGGCCGTGCTGGCTCGGAGCGCGGACCGCCGTTCCGCCCTCCACATCGGCCGCGCCCACTTGGAGCGCGGGCTCTCCGCACCGGCGGCGCCTGCTCGGAGCATGGGCCGCATGTTCACCGCTCCGCTCCGTACTAGCCACCCCACCTTCCGCGGTGGCCGCACACGCTTGCCGCGCTCCCGGTCCACGCCGATTCTCGTAGCTTCGGTCTCTGTGCTGGCCGTGAGCTCGCCTCGCCGCCCTCCACGCCCAACGTATGCTCGTCGTGTCGCTCTTTGCGTTGGCCACGAACACTCGCTCCGCCCGTGCCGCGCACTCAACATGTTGGCCGCGTGCCTGTCGGGCCGGCCACGCACGCTGGCCGCAATCCCACTCGGAGCGTGCACGCTGGAAACAGGAAAAAGAGTAAGGGATAGAGGAAGAAAGCAGGGGCAAGAATGTCATTTCACTACTGTTCTCTTTCCTCAACCACTGGAAATGAATAAAATAAGGAGCGTGGTGTCCAGTAACATAATTGTCAGCAACGAGAGTATCTTCCAGTAACTGGCTCCACTTTAGGTGTCCGCCAGCGAATGACCTCCACTTTCAGTATCCGCTAGCCAATTTTGCCAATCACAAATGGGGCTAATGAATCGGCTTCCACTGTCCGAGAGACAATTATTCAGATTCATAGTAAAAGGTACAAAGGGGTAGCACTTCTGCTGATTCAATGAAGCTCTGGGGCTATTGAGCTACCATATGATGTTGAAGGAGATTCACAAGAAGTAAAGAACGCAGCAAAGAGGAGGGATGATCAGGCCAATGGCGAACTCAATGAGGTACACCAAAGCTCTGAATCAGAAAAAGATAAGCCATATGTACCGGATAACGCAGCTACAACCAGTAGATCAAATGTACAATGTGAGAATTCTCATGTACAGAACGATCAGAAGTATGAAATTATAAGCGTAACTTTCAAAATGTTGCTGTCATATAAAACAGTGTGATGAGAAAAGTAAGGAATATGCATTGGTTCAAAATATAATCAACTCGAGCTATATAAAGGCACTATGAATTAGTAGATTTTAGGACCTGCAAAGTTAACCTTTTTTATACATCCTGTGGAATTAATGTTTTTCCTCAAGCATACTAATGAAATTTCTTTCCATTCAGTCAAATGATATGTTTTTAGAACAATTTTTATTTTGTTTAAATTTTATGTCACGATTCTATCTATATCCTTAGCAACGCACGGGCACTCAACTACTGAACGAAAGAGAGACACGAAAAGATATTAGCAGGACAAATACACCATCTACAAAAGACATGATGTTCCCTGATCGTTGGACGGCGCAAATACGTTTCCCATCCCAATCCCAGCATCCAAACCGCCCTCCCCTGTATGATCATATCAGCATCAGCAGCAGAGAGAAATGGCAGACGCAGTGAAACATGCTATGGCGATGATCTGTGCAAAGCATTTCTCTCTCTCTCTCTCTCTCTCTTTTCCAACTGGGATGATAAGACCATCACCACCACCACGAAGCCATGAATGCCATTCTCACTTTTCAGTGCCTCCAGAAAGGCGAACCAGACGAGGAAAAAAGCAAACAGCAAAAGTGACGCTGCTCCTCCGCTGCGTCATCGGCGTCCCAACGGCTAGCTTCGCGTCTCCTGCGCTGACATCACCGCCGCCGCGCCATCCCCAGCCTCCGCCCGCGGGACTGCTGCTGATGCCGCCTCGGGTCCTCCTTCAGCCGCCGGTGGTACACGCCGCTGGACGCGGTCGTCGCGTCCGCTGCAATGCAAACAACAGCCAAACAGCGAGAGAAGAGGCGTGAGAAGTTGACAGCGCAAGGCCGCGAAACTATCGCTTGCCTGCGTCGTCGGCGATGGAGATCCTCGGGGGGCTTGGGCACGCACCTCCACCTGCGCCAGCGGCGGTGGCCTCCAAGGAGCGTGCGGTGACGGTGACGGTGGCGGCCGCGGCCAGCACAGGCGAATCTGCACGGGCAACGCAACAGTCACCGCCGGGTCGATTAGCGAGAGCGGACAGCGTTAGGGTGGGTGGGCGGCCTGCGCGGCGACGGAGACATACCGGTGAGCGCGGCGGAGGGGTCATGGGACAGCAGGAAGAGGACGAGGAGGCACGAGAGAGTGAGGACGGGGACCAGGTGGATGGACCTGTCCGGCGCCGGGGCCCTGGCCACCGCCTTCGTCGCCTTCTCGTCAGCCGCCTCTGCCTCCTCGTCGGCGGCCACGCTCAGGTGGAAGGACCTCCCGGCCGGCGACCCCAGGGAGAGGCGCTGCATTGCGGCGGCGGCGGCGGCGGCGATTTTTATTTTCTGTTGGTGGGGATGCGGGACGGGAGCCCGCGGAGGGGGATTAGAGGGTGCGGCCGTGGCCGTGCGGGGTTTAATAGGATGGAGCGTGTATATTCACAATAATTCAATCTAGCTTGTCCCACTCGATGGCACGAGAGGTGGGAGGTTTTTACTGCGCATGGAAAATGCCAGCATGCAGCATGTGCGGCCCGACAGGAGGACTAGTGCTGGCGTACGTGTGCCAACTGTAGTAATAAACGTTAATATTTGCATGCGTGATCCCATCCCATGTACGTGTCGTGCATCTTTTAGTTGCCTATTTCTATTTATACTAAATATACCTCGCTCGTTGATACTAGAATCATGGATCATTTAGAATACAATTAGATGACATATAGTTACTTATACGAGAGAATAAACTATCTCTCACAACTATAAAGAGTAAAAGGTGGTTAACTTTTCGTGCGACAAAATTCTTCGGGTCGTCGGTCTGTCGAACCTGCGATCTCCGCCCTACGCGATTAGCTACGTAAGGCTGGCCCTGCGTTGAGGGGTTCTCCGATTTTTTCTTCCTCACCCGGCGTGCGTCACACGGTTCTCTCCCTCACTCTTTGGTTTTCCTTTCTCTCACTAAAGGAAGTTACGATCGCCGGATCAGAAAAAAGAAAGAAAGTCACGACCGCCCTATAGCAATAGCCGGTCTCAACTCGGCAAGTGAAGCGACCTGATTTCCACGAAATGAAATCCACAGAGTCGAAGTGTAATAAGACCGTTGTAGATCATATTACCCAAATTCCAGTCGAATATCACATCCATACAACGATAATATCAGAGTACAAATAGTGCGGAATTACATAAATTATTACATCGCCGCATTGGCGGAATTAAAAGTAGCATTCATTCAGAACAGCTTCAAGATAAGATCGCCAAACTCGAGCGTAGGAACGAACCCCTCAACCGTCAAACTCCTCAGAGCTATACTTCTCAGCAGAACCTATGTGCCAAAATTTATCAGTACGATTTGTACTGGCCACTCCCACCCTATGAGCATTGCTTTGTGGAAATTGGATGCAAGTTGGATATAATCAAAAGGAACCTATAAGGCTGGGGTTTCCTATGTATTAACATTTCAAGTATATATTAGCAGTTGATCAAGTTTTAATACCATTCCCACACCCATTCCACCCCATTCCTATTCCAGAGCCAGATTTTGATCCTCGGATCGATATACCACCATCTCCACACCATCACCATACCACACCCATACCATCGCTCAGTCGACAGGCCAACTCCCTCTCGGCACTGTCTCAAGGCCCGAACACTCACTCCCAGGGGGAGAAGAGAATGACTCATCTCTCTATCTAGTTTAAGCGAAACCCAGGAAAGGTCCATAGCCGACAAGTCGGCATATGTATCGATCGATCAACCATACACTCTGCAGAGGTTTTACATAACCACAAGATCCGCCTTCCTCACTGACCGTCGTCAACTGGGCTGATTCTGGCCGCTTGCTAGCCTAGGATAATGTCACTCTACCATTCAGCCCTGGTACACCCCAAATCTAGTCTGGGGTGGCTGAAACTGTGAGTCATGAGCCGGGTCCACAAGGTCTCCATGAAGTCTCGGAAGGGTGTGGGGGAAATCCTCCGCACCCCGTACCTCCCTCACACTGTCCGATGTCAACCTAGCAGTAGTGGCAATACCCTACCAAGTAGTCCGGCCGTCCCGCACCATATAGGGCGAGTGGTATGTAAGGCTTTTCGGTGAATCTGAGTACTAGTAAGTCCTTAGGGATGACCAAGCCAGAATGTCTTCATCAGGGTTTCCATTTACCGTGCCACCACAGCACCTCCACCCTGGGCTCCTCCTACCACAGGATCACACCCAGGGCCACCTCATATACCATTTACCCACCACATGTATCCATTCCAGGGGTGCCCAGGTAGCACCCCACGACAAGACTTGCCCTAGGCTCGCCGTATACTCCAACTTGGTCGACACAACCCTCACCCTCCATGCACCCAAGTCACACACACAACACTCTCCCCATGGTCCAGATAACACCAGTTTCCACCATGCATCAATGTAATGCAAGCGTAGTAGAAGTAATAGGCAAGGAAATATAATAGCAAGCGTGTGACTAGCCTAACAGCAGGGTGAGCAGGGGTAAGGTTGCGTCAATGTAAAGGCCATCAAGAAAGCATACTACCATGCAAGTCCTACCATAGTGTGATTATGACAATAAAGTAAGCACTAGCATTTCTATTTTAGCCATGCGTAATAGGTGCTACGAGATTGGGTGGGATGTGGCACCTTCAGTGTAGTCGTCTCCGTACTCCTCACGGTACTCACGATCCTCGTCCGTCCGGTTCTCCTCCGAGTCTACAAACGATCGCGTTATAGTCACGTTAGCGACGTCTATAGAATAGCACAAAGATGCACTAAAAATTTAAAAGAGCCAAATGCACTCAAACATGGGTTCATTGCGTAGAGCTTGATTTTTGATGAATTTTGATCCTAGTTTCGTATTTTTCTGAGGTCACATGAATTAGTTATGAATTTTCGAAGATTAAATCCATTTTTGAAAATGAAAAAGGCTGAATTAATCCTGGGCTGACACGTGTCACGCTGTGACTGGTCCACAAGGCATGCTGACGTCAGCATGACGTTAGCATCTTGGTTCCGAGTTGACAGGTGGGGTCCAGCCGACGTCAGCAACGTCATCAATTCCGACAGGTGGGTCCAGGGACTCTCGGATCACTAACATGTGGGTCTGGTCAAAGTCAACGTCAAGTCAACGGTCAATGGGTCAGGGTCACTGATGTGTGGGTCCAGGGCAGCTGACGTCAACAGCTGATGTCATCGTGATGTCAGCATGACGTCACCTCGGTCGTGTCGGCTTCTGACGTGTGGTCCCCGCGTGACGTCAGCATGACGTCACCGTGTGACATGTGGGTCCAGCGGCTCTGTGTCGCTGACATGTGGGGCTAGGTCAATGGTCAGTGTTGACCGGTCAACGGTCAACATGGGCCGGGTCTCAAACGGGCTTTGGTGGGCTTGGGTTGGGCCGGTCTGGGCCGGGCTGACCCGGACACGTGGCAAGCTGTGATGCAGCCACGTCACAACCTTGAGCCTCCACTAGGCTGTGGTCTTCGGCTGTGGGTGTGAGCGTGGCTCACGGCGGACCAAGAGGCGCTGGTCCATGGGCCGCAGACAGGTCTACGGTGGACCGAGTCCACCCTTCTTCTCTCAGGCGTGGTCCATGTGCACCGGGTGCATGCGCGGGTGGCCAGCGAGGGGAGTTTCCCCTGTTTCTCCCGCGGCTATGCTCTTGCTAGCGGCGAGCTCGCTGGTGAGCCTCCGTGGCGGCGCTAGTGCACAATTGATGCGGGTGGAAGCTCCGCCGAGCCTCGGCGTCTTCATTGGTGGGGTTCACATGCCGTGCGGGGTCCCATGGTGTGTCGGCCACGGTGGCGGTCTTCCGGGCACGACGGCAGCGCCGGTGAGGTGGCTACGGCCATGGTGAAGCGTCCGGTGGAGCGTGTAAGCTTCTACGGATCCGTGGGGACGCAGCGAGGGCGTCCAGGGCTCAAGGCGGGGCTTCGGGTTTCCTGGTGGCCGGTAGGGGCTCCCCGGTGGCCACGGCAACATGGTAACGACGACGAGGCATGCGGGTGCACTACGGGGCTCCGGTGGGTCGGTCACGGCATGGTTGCGGGTGTGCGCGTGGGTGTGTGTGTTCCCAAAGGCCGGAGACGGCCCTAGCCTATGCACTCCCAATGTGGAGCGCCATGGCCGACTTGGTGAGGTCCGGCGGCAAGCAGGGAGAGACCGGGAGGGGGCTCACCGTTGGTGTCGAAGGTGATAGGGTGGTGATGTAGTGGCGGTTCGAGGCCGTGTAGCTTCGGAAGCCGTGCAGTGCCGTGCAACGTTGTCCTTGTTCCGGCGGCTTCGGAGGTGCTTCGTCGGCGCCTCCTTCTTCTTTCTCCCTCTCCCTTCCTTCTTCCTCTCTTGGCTCTCTCTCTTGGCTCGGGTGTGCAGGGGGGTGGCCGCAACGTGGCGGCGAGCACGGAAATGCGCTAGGGCAACCAGAGCCAGGGCTTTTATAGCCGGAGCTCCAAGCTCCAATGGCTGACGGCTGGTGATCGGCGGATGGGGGTCAAGGGTGATCGGGGGTGCGAGCTTGCATCCAACGGCCGTGAGTGGTTGCGTGGGTGCGGCGCCAAGGAGACAGGGCCATGCCCCGGGCGTGACACCCTGGCCCGCCCCTGCCAGTCCTGTCGGGGCTCGGTCGGAGAAGGGAATCGGCGTGAGCGGTCGGGGTGTGGCGTGGAGAAGATGAACAGGAGGGCTGACATGTGGGGCCCATGTGGCAGTGGCTACAAGTGAAGGCGGGGAGGCACGTGGGCGTGAGCGGCGTGCGGGCTGGCTACTAGGCCTACGCGAGTTCATGGGTCGGCCGGCCGGCTTGCGGTCGTGCGTGCGCGCTGGGAAGGGGTTGGCAGGCCGGTTGGGCTGGCTGGGCCGTGAAGCCGAGTAGGCTTGGGCCACAGCGAGGCTTCCTCCCTTTTCTTCTTTTTCTGTTTTTCTTTTCTTCTCCTTTGTTTGAATTCAAATTTGGTTTTGAAATTTGAATTCCAAATTGGTGCACCATATTCATTGGAGTTTTAGGCATTACATAAAACAGATGAAAATCCAAATCACCATTTTAGTTAACAATGTATGCAACACTTTGTTTGTTGGAAATTAAATAAACATAACTAACAAATGACATGCCATGCTTATGTGTTGACTTGGGTTGGGGTTAGACCTAATGCATCTCTTAGGTTGGGTTTCTATACATGACACTCATCATCACATGGGGTTTTGAAGAAAAAATTTTGTAGTTGTGATTTTTGGTGTGTGGATTTTTGGGTTGTTACAGTCCTACCCCCTTAATAGAATCTCGTCCCCGAGATTAAAGCATAACGTACTCTTCGAAGAGGTAA